CTTTGCAGATTCTGTAATCAGGAACTTTTTCGCTACAGAATGTGTTTGAAGTTGTCCAGCTTAATGGTTAGGGGTAGGATTAGGGTTAAAGGGCTTCTATTTACAGCTGTGTTGAATGGAGAAGCTGTTTCTCTAGCTTATGCATTCATCTGCGGCTTAATACCCCAAAGGCACATTCCACTGATTGACAAGCAAAACAAAAAGAAAAGGAACTTAATATGTTCGCTTGTATTTTTTTTTTTTAATTTGCCAAGAACCAGTCAAGTTTCAGAGGAGTATTAGCCACTGCCATAAATCAGTTTAGCTAGCTATCCATCCATTTATTCGTCTTCCAACCACTTATCCCGATCTGGGTCATTAACTAGGAAAAGTAACTAAAATATATACCTTCTGATTAACTGGTTACACAAATCCAAGCTGATTAGTTCACACATAAATGTACTACCATGACCGTGGTAATCATTTCTTGATTCTTTCTGTCTTTTGGTGTAATTCTAGCTATTTGATGATATCCATCAATATGTTCAGAAGTCACTTTCTCATGCTACTGACAAACTGTGCCTGTATCGCTATGATCTGAACCGAAATGGCTGCACTCACTTTTTAAGGCTTGGTGATGTCTTTTGGCCAGACAGTGATGACTTAGGGCTGCCCTGTGTAGTGCTGATGAATGACGGGGCCTCTGCTTCCGTATCCTTTCCCCCACCACGCATTTTCCGTGAGCCTCGCTAGAAGGAAGCGGGTCCATTCCGTCACACACCCAGTCAAGGAACGGCGCTTGATAACATCGTCAGCTTTCTATGTGTGTGGATGGAGGTCGGGGTGGGGGGGTCCATGCCGGGTGCTAGATGGAGATCCGCAGCCTGGCTCTGGCACGCTGCTTGACGGGCAGCTTTCCTTGGAAGACGTCCCACTACTCAACTACTATGTTGACATTGCAGGAATAGCAGACTCCTGGGCCTGGAGCTGGGGGAGACCTGATCCGTATCTCCCAGCTGTCAGCACCGTCACTCTGTCAGGGTGGATTCCGTGGTGCCCTCCTCCATTTTTGCAAACCTTTAGCCCAGTGCTTTTCCCGATCCACAGAACTGGATGGTTCCTGAAAGGCTTGGTCTTTATTTATATAGATGACGCAGGGTTTCTCCCTACTGATCCAACCTTGACTGCTTCTCATCCGTGTCACACCATTTTGAAGCTGTTACTGTAAATGTAACTAAGTAAACAAGGGCATATACTCCCTGCCGAAATTCATTACTCCTCAGCTTCCAGCCAGTTGAGCTTTGAAAACAAAATGTGTTTTAATCTTAAGAAGAGATAGTGGAGTGTCAACTCCACATTAATATTTATGAAATACTCAGTCCAATATGCTGATATAGCTGGCAGTTTGAGATATCAAGATATCTCTACTGTTGATCGTTAGATCTCTTGACTTGTAAAAGGGAGAAATTTATGTTTTCATCCTTCATAACAATTATAAATTTTGTCCCAAAAACACAGTGAAACTTCAATGCGCACTGAGGCTGCCGATTAAGTATGAATGACACCTGTCGCTGCACTCTGGGATGAACACTCTGAATGTCGACCTCTGAGGGGTGACAAATGGACATTTTTAAAATTGAGAACATGCTATGTGAATGTTGCTTTCCTAAATAGCGGCTAGGCTAATAATTCCCCTTTTCCTTGTATGCCTTTGCCACTGTACGAGAGCCCTTTTGCGAAGCAATTATGCCCCTTATCAATCTGACATATCAATATACTGATTCGGTACTGTCTGATCTTGCATTTTGCTTTGAACTAACCCCGTCCTTCACTCATACATTCCTGAAGCCCACAGTTGGTTTTTGTTCATGTGATAGTGAAGGCATGGTAGAATGTTCCAGATTCCAAGTGCATTTTGTCAAGGTTGGGTGGGGCCAAGGGAGTTTGCACAGTCTAGCGTTATGGAAGACTGCATCTAAATAGTCCGGCTGTTGTACTCTGCCAGCTCCCACCAGCTGTTCTTCACCGTGTCTCCTCTTGGGGGGACTCATCCCTGACAGAAACAGAGGCAGCCGGCTCAGTCCGGCACTGGCAACCCTCTCACTGGCAGTGGGGAGTTCACCTCGCCAACTGAGACGAATCGACTTGGGAGATAAAGGCCGGCTTTCTCTGCCGTTGGACAATTGCTGTGTTGTGACAGACCCTGGAGCGGCTGCGATGGTCAAGCCCCCCCCGCCAAATGGGTTTGATATTTGTCTATGGTCAAGTGGTGTCAAATCAGTATCAATGCAGAGTATCCAATAGAGAATACTGCAGCTGTAAGTGCAGAGCCAGAAATGTATTGCCAATCTGCAAGCCTTCATCTCCTTATGAACCCCCCCTGTGTTTTCGACTGAAGGCACTTAGGGGTCGATCTCCGACTGCAGCGGAGCATATAAAGTTTATTCAGTCTGGTCAGTTTTTTAAATGCGTCTTGGGTGAACGGATTGAGGAGGCTTTCTGTGCCGTACAAGTCCTCGTCCGCGCAGCCAGGTAGACGCGCGGCCGTGATGCTTGCTCAGGCTATCTCAAGCGCAGCAGAAACACAGATACAGACAAGGACATTCGTCCTGAACCTGCGACCAGAGGGGCCGTGTAATCTAAAACACACTTAGGCATTATCTAACTCTCTGGATAAAAGTATTCACTGGTTACCACCCTCTCCCACCAACATGACAGAACTGTGTAAAGGTTGAAGATTAAGGCCAGTTCAGCAGAAGAGCTTTAATGCAGGGGGCCAGGGGCCTCAAACAACCTTTTTTCACACAATTTTAAACCTGGAGTTGCCCCCCGTCCTGTATTGAAAAACAAAAATAAGTGTCCCGTTTTAAACCAATACAGGATGCGATTTGACCTGTATTTTCATGTTTGGACCAAAACAACTATTTAAGCTGGCCCATAGTCAGATAACCCAGGGGCCTCTGACCATGCTGATGTCACAGAACATTTCTGTTGTAAAGTTTGGACTGTTTAAGGGAGAGCATGTTATAGGATCATAATATTTGGCATTTTTTAATTTCTTAAACCACCAAAGTCCCTATGTCATTCTGTACATCTGTTTATGATCAGTAGGTAATGTGTTTGTTGTGGATACATACTTGTACCTTGAGAAGTCATCATGCTTTTATTTAGTAATTTCAAACAAGATGCTGGTATTAAGGCAGTGAGTGAAATTGAGGTTGATCATCGTGACCAATAGGTTACAGGTTATAGGAACGGATTTTGTCCCTACTGAAGTGCTCTGTGACTAGTCGTCATTTTCAGGGATGAATGTAATCTCAGGTTCCAACTGTGGGGAGTTTTTAAACTACCAGTGAAAGCTGGCCTGACATATTTCTCAGTATTTGTGAATGAGTTCACTCACCACCCCCCCTCACACCACCACCCTCCCTGGCCTGTCGTATTGAGGTCACACAGAGTCCACGTGTTGATTTGTGATCAACACTTCCTCTCTGTCGAAGAGGAATGCATGCAAAACTTCCCACTGTTCAGTGACGTCAAGAGATACATTAGAACTAAATTAGTCAGTTTACCAGCTTAAATTACTCTGTTTGCCAGTTCCTGGTGAATGTAAGCTGCAATGGGGGAGTAGCTTAGAAAAGATTAACCAATGATCTGGTGTACATGCCTTCAGTAACTTCAGTAAATGCATACTGTAGTTTTTGCAGGGTTGGATACATCTACGAAAAATGAGGTATTCTGGGTAACTGGGGTTCCTGTAGTCACTCAGACGGACAGAAACCGTGAATTCTCCATGTGCCTTTAGTGTTTCTGCTCGTCTTAAATTTTCATGCAAAAGAAATGTACAAGATCACTTCTCACTTTCTTCACTTTTAATTAACTTTTCACTTTTTGACTTTTAACTGAGTAATTGGATCAAAGCTTGGCCTTTAAGGTGTCATGGCTTGATAAGGGGCAGAGAATGTGACTTATTCCTTATGGAAGCAAAATTACACGTGAGCATTCAGGAACAGTTACTGAAACTGCTGTTGACTGTGAAAACCGATAGACCTTCCTGGGGTGGTGTGTGGCTCAGCAGCTTGGATTCTGTTTCTGTGACCGGAAGGTTGTCAGTTTAAATCCCAAGGTTGCCAGAGTGTTTTTGCCATTGGGCCCTTAACCCCAATTTCTCTGGGTTACCTAAAATGGAAGTATGCTGCTTTGGGTACAAAAAAATAAATGTGGATTGTAAATGTAGATCTAAAAGCAGGTGTCATTCTAAAGTTTCCGTAACGGAATAATGGATTCTTTGACAGTTTGCTGTTTTCTTAGTTTAACCATGTAAAAAACAAATGTATTACTATATCTTTGGTTTGATCTTATTTATGTTACTTTACAATAAATATCCTCCACCTGTCAGTGGTGCATCTATGGAGAGCAGTAAAATCTGTTTTTAAGCCTTCGATTCAGTTCCCGCAGAGCAGGAAGTTTGGTCATACTGAAAAAGTGTAATGATACATATATGATCTCCATACACACTCACTGGGGTTTCAAGAGAGTGGTGATGGTTTTCCAGTGCAGTGTGACTGCCACTTGTGTTCGCGCTTCACGATCATGGCCGTCTAATGGTTAGGGGTAGGATTAGGGTTGCATACATCGGCGTGCATTTGCCAAACTACTCCACCGCCTCGCAGACGGAGGGGACCTTTGGATAGCGATTGAAAAGACAGGTGTTTAGAAGTTCTGAGCATAAGTAGAAGACATGTACCTGCAATCTGGCTGGGGGGGGGGGTGTCTGTGGAGGCAGGCAGGTAAGACAGCACACTTGAGCATGAGCCATAAAACTGAGCCACTTAATGCGTCTGGACTTGGGGGTGTCAGCGAAGCCCCTCTGAATTCCAGAACGAGCTCCTTGTGTGTGCTGGAGTCTCTCATCCTACTCCTCCATGTCTTCCCCTTTGCTTGCATGCTCTCTCTCTCTCACTCACTCACTCCCTCCTTGGAAAACACTCCTCCCCCTCTGCAGGCAGCCTTCCCTCCCTCACACTGTGCACTCCTCACACTTCCACATACTCTCAATGGCTTAGTCACGCCTGCATTTCGCCTCTGGGGATTCAAGCATAGCGCCCATGACAGACTCCGCGGTCCCGTGGAGAAACTTTTAAAGCATTGTTCCTCTGGAAGAAGCCGCGTTCCCCAACCTTGCTCCTCACCTGAGATTCCTATCTGCTGATCCATCTCCCATCGCGACCCACGTGCCATTGAGGATGGGACAGGGGAGTGACCTGCTCCACAGGTAACGTGTCTTCGGTGATTCTGCATCTGGCTTCTCCCCTCCAGACACCTGGAAGGTCTTACCAGTTCGTATCCATAGATGTTTTTTAAAAAAACCCCACTGTCTTTTTATTAGAGTTAGGAAAACAAATTGCAGTACTGCCCTTCAGATCCTACTGTCCTATTTTAATGATACACTTAGCAGGACTGGCCAAACAGTGCAGTCCATCTAACCAGCTGCTGTTGTGCTTCTCTTAAAGATAAGGCACTATATGATATCCTGCGAAGTAACACGTGTTCTCAGAATCTCCAGTTGCCTTCCAGTTGTTTGCTGTTGGCAGCTGGTTACGTTAACGGTCATCATTTTTATAAAGCCACAAATCAATCGTGTCTTTAATGAGTGTGCATGCTCTGTAATGACTAGAATTGCTTTCATTGTTTTTATTAGTGTCCGTTTGACTTCTCCAGAAAGATCTGCCTCAGCATTCTTTATTTCTCTTGCATGCCCTTCATTGTCTTCTTCTTCCGTTGCTTATTTCTTCTTGGATGTTATTCTGAATGGCATAATCTGTGGGGTGTTTTTTGAGGCAGATATCCCACTCTCCTAAAAGTTATACCACGGCGCAAAAAACTCTAGAACACACCATTAAATATGGGTCTCTTTGAGAGCTCTCACTTTCCCTTTGAGTAGTACAGAGGCTTGTTAAAGTCCCCTCTGCAAAAAAGAAAAGTGAAAGTTACAGGTGCTGTTGAAAGTATGACTCATTTAGTAACCTGAAATCCAGAATCCCTGTGATTGCTTTCCTGATGCAGGGAGCTCTTTATAATAACAGACTTAAGCATTTTTACACTCATAGAAATATACTAAGTATATAGAAATGTAGACGTTTCTTTGTTATCTGAAGGTTAAAGCAGGGGGATTCCAGCAGCTCTAGGTGTGTATTTTCTTTGGCTTTCAGTCATGCATCTGAAGTGTGAGATAAGAACGGCCACAGTGGGAGACAGTGGGAGACAGTGGGAGACAGTGAGAGACAGTGGGAGACAGTGAGAGACAGTGGGAGACAGTGGGAGACAGTGAGAGACAGTGGGAGACAGCGGGAGACAGCGGGAGACAGCGAGAGACAGCGAGAGACAGTGGGAGACTGTGAGAGACAGTGGGAGAATGTGGGAGACAGTGGGAGACAGTGGGAGACAGTGCCCCCTGTAAAACCAGCAGGGAAAGGAGCCCGAAAGTCAAAGCTAAAAAGCATCAGTGTCAGTTTTTACTTAAATTTTTTTAATCACATTAACCAGCTTAAATCTGAAAGTGTAAAAGTTCATTTGTGCTTTATATTGTTGTGTTTGTATTTAAATTTTTATTTGTTTTATTATTAATTTTCACTATATTAAAAAAATAATAATTTAATTTTAATAGTCTTCCTATTTGGTAATAAATTTACACCTCAAAATATGCACTAACCTTTATATATTAATACACATAATTTAAATATAATTTCAATCGTACCCATATTTAAAAATTTCGTTTTCATAAACACTCCCTAGTGTCCAGCTGTCAAATGCCCCCCCCCCCACCCCCAGAAGTGCAGCGAATGTGACCTCAGGTCATAAATCACTGGTGGATTCCTAGAGCTGCCAGCGTCACGGCCTTGTGTCTGAAACGGATCCAGACTTGAGCCAGCTGTTGATCTCACCGTCTGCACCCCCTCCCCCCACCCCCCCCCGCGACATGATGCCACACTCCTGGGAGTCAGTTCACTAGATAGAAGCACGACCTTTGTATCTGAATGAAAAGTTTCACATTTGCTTTCCTGTGCTTCAGAAAAGTTAAAGGTGTGATGAACAGACCTGAACATGTACGGCATTCTGTCATTTTTATTGCTCTTAGAGATAGTAACCACTTTTGTATGATTTTTTTTATTTGTTTGTTTGTTTGCAGATTCCATTTGGGGCTGAAGTGGTTTCTGAATTCCAGTTAGGAAACGTGGATTCTGACTGGTCGCTTGGGGTGCCTAACATGGCCAGTCACGGTGTCGGTAACAGAGGCTGGTGGGTCCACTTTAGAACTGAAGCAGAACTCTAGATTGTAAGATGGACACCGGAGTCATAGCTACACTGGAGGGGCCGCAGTCATTGTCAATAGCAGTGCTGCCTATGGTCACATATTCAGTGCTGGATTCCTCAGCCGGAAGCGGCATGGGCGGTACCTCCATCCATAGCATGAGTCTGTCAGAGAACAGAAGTGTTGTCTTTGGTTTGGAATCCCCAAGTCGGGCTCTTCTGGAGCCGACCAAGGGATGGGTTAAGAAGGACCGGGAATGCCTGAAGAAATGCGTGAAAGCCTCAGCACCAGGCCCAGCAGAGGATGTAGGTCACCTTGCTGATCCGCTGCCAGACCCAAAAGACCCTTCCTCAGCACTGGGCTACACTGAGGAGCAAGAGCACGCTTCTGTCTGTTCTTGCTCCTTACATGAGTTTGACTGCAGTCCCACTGCATCGTATTCCGCGGAAATAATGAGTCATTACCCACCTGGATCTGCCACCGTCAGCTGCATGGAGCTGCCAGTATCTCTTCCACAAAAGGGTCTGCTGGACAGGAAAAGTCCTGCTCTGCACCAGGAAGAGCTGGGTGATTTTCACAAGCTTTGTTCCCGTCCTAAGGAGAGCGGTCACACTGTTGTCCCAGTGGAGAGCACAGACGGAGTGTCCACCGTCCCTGCACCGGGGGTGACGCTCGGGTCACTCAGACTTTCGTCTCCCTCGGAGACCGGCCCCAAAGTTCCTCAGCAGACCTTTGACCGTCAGGGGCTTGACACTGTTGTAAATATCAAGGCCAGCTGCATCGCTTTCTCGGACTATAACCGCGGGTCTGTAAGCCGCCCGTCTGGGTACAACCGGACCCTTTTCATCACCGAGAGCTTGGACTGCAGCAGCGGCTCTTCAGGCAATGATGACAGTGAAGCCACCATTGCTGGTGGATGGTGGAGCGAAGCCAGGGGTGAACTGGGAGGTGATGGGCTGTATGGAGGGCAGGGCGGCCGCCAGCTAGACAGGCTGCTCAGCTCGAACTCCACCAGCGAGAGCAGCTGCGAGGCAGAAGAAGATGTAAGTAACCCTTCACCCTACTTTCTTATTTTCCTACCATACTTGCTTTATAAATATTTCCAGTTGTAAATAAAAATCCAAATGCAAACCAGGAAAATGTGTGACAGAAAATACGGTCTATTTTTAAGCCAAATGCAGCCGAACTTGTTCTATGAAAACAGCACATTCCACTTTCAGCGGCGTGTATAATTTTGAGAGGCCATGCCATCGTTCCGGGCTATTTTTGTGGCGGCAGTGCTCAGTGCGCGCTTTGAGACGCGGAGAGCTGGGGCAGCAGTCGTCACGCTACACGGCTCATCCGCACCCGGCTGCCGTGTTTCCTTTCCGTGTTGTGACAGCACACTGGACGTGTACTCTCCCAGAATCACACGTCTTTCCAAGGTAACATGATAATTCCTGACTCCTGCATCCGCGACTGTACTCCTCGGATTAAAAAAACACGAACTTGGCAGTTTTGTTCATGCATTTTCTGGCAGGTTCTGTACGTTATAGATATCAGTTGGCGTTTTCATGTTTGTTTTTCCTTGCTGACGGACAAACCTGAAACTTGACCGCTTGCTGGAATGTGTGTACCAAGCACCCGACTGGCATTCTGCATTCATCATACAGACCCAGGTTCCTCATAACGCGGAACCTTTCTTCTGCCAGAACCCTGTGCCTGGCCTAGGTGGCACCAGCACCGGGACCTTGCAAATCCCACATCTGCAGGTGAAACACCTGGTGGTAAATGTGTTTCTCCTCTATGCAGCATACTGTGCTCTTTACCATGTTGACATAAGCAACATAAGCGTGGCCAGATTTTCTAATGTATTTTAATAGCAATTATTTTATTTTTATTTTATGTATGGAACATATGAACAAGTTGCAAGCAGCATGAAGGATGATTTAGCCCACTGCTGCATCGACAGTCTTTCCGCTTGAGTGCAGACACCGTGACTCGTGAAGTTAGTCGTGTAATGTTTGGAGAGGGAGTTGAGGAATGCTGGGAATTCTGCTAACTGGTTGTTTCGGCTCGGGAGACGGGAGCTGACCACCTATTTTGGTGCAGCCTGACAGGTTGTCCTGACTCCTGCCCCCAGGTCAGCCCCATTAATCTCGCTCTCACTTTCCCCCCCCTCACTGTTGAAGGATACGGTTGGCTGGAAGTGTGACCCCCCCCCCCACCCCCTCCCCGACTAATATCCCTATGTCGTTCTAGGACGGCTTAACCTCTGTCCACGTCGATCCTCCTTTTTCTGTTTTAAATTCACTAAACCGCAATCTGGCCATGTATTAATATCTCCCAGGAGCTGCAAAAAATTTGACTGAAAAAAACAATCTATTTCACAGACGGGGCAAGTTCTTATAACCCCAGTGGCGTTTGGAAAAACAGAAGCCTGTGAGAGATCTGGCCTGGTGGATCTGATCTCCTGAGAGTATCAGCCTGTATAGATCATAAAGCAAATTTACAGCTTCACAGGCAACTGACAGGTGGGCGTGAATGAGACGGGTAACTTCCTTCCCTGTCCGTGGCTCTGGGTCGGTTATGCTTCCCTGGTCGTTTTGCTCCTTTGAAAATTGAATGCTTGTCACACCGTAGTTTTTGTGTCTTTCTTCGCTGTCATTCTTGGCTCATTAGAGCTGAGAAGCAGAAAGGCCAGACAGAGGTGAATGACAAAGCGCTTGGGTCTGTCTGAGAAATGCGCCGCTAACTTTGGCCCGGTTGGCTGATGCTCGGTGTAGCTCAGCCACTGTGAAATCACTTCCTGATTCGCTGGGAAGGTTGTAGGTGTAGTTCTCTCCATTTGGCATTAGGGTGCGCTGTTGGCCCACTCTGCTCAGATATCGGGGCCTCTCGTTCGCACGCCATCTCTGACCCCCCCTGCTTTTTCTCCCACGAGAGCTAAGGGTTCGAGTCTTCCTGAGACACACGGTTCCACGCGGCGTGAGCGGATTCCGCGCCTCCGCCGCCAGACTGCTGGTGGATGGGGGATGGATGTTTGGAAAGGCGGGGTTGTCAGGGAGCCGTGCCCTTGTGTGACTGCCGCTGCGGCCCTCGATGTGGGTGGCAGGAGGAGGGCACGGAGCCCAGAGCACCCAGGCCCAGGCGGGTCGCTCCCGCGTCTCATCTCAATGACAATGGCCGACGGCCTCGCTTGACAACGTGGGCAATTTGTGCAGCCAAAGTTGCGGCCTTTTCCAGGGGTTTGTCTCTGATGGCATCAATAGATGGGCGGGCCGACCTCGTGTCTGCACGGTTGCCACGGCGAGGAGCGAGTGGAGGAGTGGGGGGGGGGAGGGTGTCTCACACAGAGGTTGGCGCGTACTCTGGAATTCTTCTAATTTCACGCAAAAGGCACATGCTTCTTGACTGCCCCCCCCCAGTGGAGACAGGCCCGCGAATATAAATGCAATTTATTTGGCTCACGCATCTATCAGAAGGGCCTGGGATGCTGGGGGGGGGGGGAGTTGGTTATATGGGCTTTTTCCACAGGATAGTGCTGAAATAAACCAAACAGCCCCAAGCAATATCAGAAATAGAAGAGGACACTTTTAAAACACTGCTTGTTTCTTAAGGTATTTTCAGGTGGAGCTCAGTAAGGTCATTTCAGTCCAAAGTGACTCATAAATTTAATGAATATTTTGCTGGAATAATTCTGGTGCCTAGTCTAGGACGTGAATGGGACACGTAGAAATTTGTTTCCTTGATCTTTTTCGTAGCAGATGTGAAGGATGAAGGTCAGTTTGAAGATATTTTATTTAAACTTGAGGTAAAAATAAGCCTGTCTTAATGATCAATAGACTAGGAAATACCTCTTCTTAAAAAGGCAGGATATTCTTGATGATAGTGAATGGGTGGACATGATAAAACTACATATTTTTAGGCAGCATAAAATACTAAACTGCTGTGTATCACTGTCAATTATAATCCATGACCACACCCTGTGCCTGGCCACGCCCACTTAACCACACTCCCCTGTCTGACCACACCCTCATGTTTGACCACACCCAGTGCCTGACCACACCCCTATGTCTGACCACACCCAGTGCCTGACCACACCCCAATTTCTGAGTACACCCTCTGCCGGACCACACCCCTCTGCCTGACCACACCCTGTGCTTGACCACACCCCTATGTCTGACCACACCCTCTGCCTGACCACACCCTCTGCCTGACCACACCCTCTGTCTGACCACACCCTCTGCCTGACCACACCCTCTGTCTGACCACACCCCTATGTCTGGCCACACCCTCTGTCTGACCACACCCTCTGCCTGACCACATCCCTATGTCTGACCACACCCTCTGCCTGACCACACCCTCTGCCTGACCACACCCTCTGCCTGACCACACCCCTATGTCTGACCACACCTTCTGTCTGACCACACCCCTATGTCTGGCCACACCCTCTGTCTGACCACACCCCTATGTCTGGCCACACCCTCTGCCTGACCACACCCCTATGTCTGACCACACCCCTCTGCCTGACCACACCCCTCTGCCTGACCACACCCTCTGTCTGACCACACCCCTATGTCTGACCACACCCCCATGTCCAAGCATGCACCCTGCAAAGGAACCAGATGTGGACGTGGACTGGCCATCATGGGGGTGAGTGGGAGTCCAGTCTTTAGTCTTTAGAGGACAGCCGCAGATAGCTGGCGTCTAGCTCATTTGATGGGGGGCATTGGAGGGGAGTGTGGGCGGGTCCCGCTCATCGTTTCCACATTCCAGCGGATTCCGTGAGCCGGGCTGATGGGTATCACACTGACGGTGAGCCCTCTCAGGCCCGGCTTCGTGTGGCCGCGTGCGCATCTCAAAAAGAGCGGCGCCCCTCAAAGGGCTGATTGTGCCGGCCTGTGATGGGGGGGTCCCCGGGCCCCGGGCTGTCACGCTCAATGACCGGGGGCCGCTTCTCACCGCAGCGCATTCCAGGCAACCAGCGAGTGCCTTTGAAGGCCCCGCATCTTCAGCGTCGGGCTGGAATCTCTGAGAGGCTTTGTGAGAAGAGCCCCAGACAGCTCCCCTCCCTCCGATCACCCCTCCAACTCCCCCAGCCAGCTCAATGACGCTGCTCACTTACCACAACTTCATGACCTCCCGCCTCCAGATTCTCAGACGTAACTTTTGGGATTTGTGTGGAGAAGTGTCTATTTCTCCCCCCAGGGGGTCCTGGGAGCCGGGAGCAGGGAGCAGGGAGCGCCCTCCTTCATGCGTGTCCACTAGTCCTGCCGTTGGATCACGCCATAGCGCTCTTGTTGCATGAATGTGTTTTGTGCATTTTAGTGTGTTTTTGTAGGCGTAAGATGGTCATGCCCCTCCCTGTTGCCCCCCACCCCACATCTGAGTGGGATGATCACTGCATTCCAAGGCCCATGATCCCATTGGTTTAAGGCCACTCCCACTCTGAGAGTGAGAGATCATCATTACCATAATAACCATCATAAGCATCATCAGTTATGGCCTGGCCTGGTCCCACTGGGAGAGCAAACAGGACCATATGACACAGGGTTCATTAGGATGGAACTGGGACTTTACTGGGGTTTTGAGGGTTTAACGGCATGGGGGAGAGGAACAGACACAAAAGGACAGCTGTTTCAGCTTTAGGGAGAGCAGTATGCTGTCAGGTCTTCAAACGTGGGACACTAGGGGTAGGCATGTGATCCAGTCCATCTGGGCTGAGTGGGGCTCTAATCCTTAGTAATTGGTAACTGGTGAACGAAAGACACCCCCATGGTTATTCAGTGTGATCGACCATATTTGATATGACAGTATCGTGTTGTAATAGAGATCCAGGGACCTGAGATACAGTGCTCACAGGAAGTCTTGGGACACTTGCTTATTTCTGTAAAAATGCTACAAATGTATTGGTTTCATAACAAAAGTCCATTGACAAGCAGGATTTAACACATCTGCGCATATCTTCCACAGACATTTTCTATTTGTTAAGCTTCATATTTTTCTGACTGACTCATTCAGTACTGTTCTTGCCATTTTGCTGTAATTTGCAATTGTGGTCATTGGCTCCCAAAGTGATACTAAACACAAATGTTTGGTGCTCTATGTTATTGCAAAGGTGTTACTAATTAAAAAGCACCCAAAGAGACTGCTTGCCAATGAACTTTTTAACTCAGAACAGCTCTTTTAGACCTACAATTTGGGTTTCAATTTATTACTACTTGAACTGAGTACTTAAAACTACTGGTTGTTTCTAATGTGATGTATATTTTTTGAAAACAAATGAATAATGATTTTTTTGTTATGAAGCCAATAAATCTGAAACATTTTTACTGGATTAAGCAAGGTCCTAATGTTTCTGTCAGCTCTGTATATGTCTGTATGATGGTGGTTTTTCTGCTCCATTCTATAGCCTGATAACCATGGACAGTCTGCTTTTTAATCCCATCCACTCCCACTAGCAGCTGTGCCGCACATCAGGGGCTCCTCTGTGTGGCATTTCGCATTAGTATATTATTCATTACCTCAGCAGAGGGTGGTGCGCTCACCCCCAGGGCTGGGGGTTCGAGGTGTTCTGCTCCATCATATTGGTATCTCCAGCTTCCTCCCACAGTCCAAAGACGTGCAGTTAGCCGGACTGGCATGGCTACGGTGTGTGAGTGTGTGTGCCCAGCGATGGACTGGCATGGCTACGGTGTGTGAGTGTGTGTGCCCAGTGATGGACTGGCATGGCTACGGTGTGTGAGTGTGTGTGCCCAGCGATGGACTGGCGTGGGTACGGTGTGTGAGTGTGTGTGCCCAGCGATGGACTGGCATCCCTCCTTGGGCATTACTCCTGCCTCGTCCCCTCCTCTGCCCTGGGAGCTCCAGGCACTTCCACAACCTGCACTGGATAAGCGGCTGGAAAATGGATGTATAGATTATCCCAGCCAGTCCTAAGCAGCTTAAAAAAAGATTTAAAAAGAAGCAATTTGCTGCTTGATGTCTACTCAATTGTCAGGCAGTATTTTGCTTAATGCTGTTAACCGTATTACTGCAAGGATGTTTTTCATTTTCCCTAATTTGTGCCCCCCCACCCCCAACATACTCCCACAACAAGAGTTTTCACCACTTCTGTCTTCTTGGTCCCAGACCGTGACCCAGCTGTTAAGGAAACTCGAGCAGCTCCACCTGGACATCGAGGAGGCCCTCAGTGTCGTCTCGTCACCCGGCGACACCCCCTGCGTGTCTGGGGTGGGGGAGCAGCTCTCACTAGGCAAGGACCCTTTGGTGAGTTTTCTATTTCTCACATGCAAAAAATAAATAGTTTGTTTGGTTACTTATGGTTAAGGTTAGGGCTGGGCAGGAGTTAAAGTCATCATGTTGGGATTAGAGTTTTCACCATAGAAATGAATGGAGAGTCCCCACAAAGATATAATTACAAACCTGTGTGTGTGTGTGTCTGTGTGTGTGTGTGTGTGTGTGTGTGTGTGTGTGTGTGTACTGTGATGGACTGACATCTCTTGGGCCATATGCCCCCCTGTGACCCTGTACTACTTAATCAGCAGGATGATGAATGGATGTCGATTCACTGTATAAATCACAGTAGATGGCTATCAAACATTGTCAAATAAATTAATACTGATCACACAAATATAACAACGAGAATGTAGGAAATATTTATTGTTGGTAGAACTAAGAGCACAGGCATTCACATTTAATGTCCATAGTCGTTCACTGGTATTTCTTGGTTTTGTGTTGCATCTGACTTGCCCTTAAGCACCCAGTTTTCCCAGTGACATGGCGCAGTAATCACATTAGTGCTGGCATTAGCCGTAGTGGCTGTTAAAATATGGCTTCCCTGCATTTTTTACGTGCACTCAAGCAAACAAGCCACCGACATGCCAATTAATCCAGGGGGAAAAAATTGTCGCCATCTGTTCATTTTTAACTGCTTTGCTTAATTGCATAGCTATGTTCAATTTGTGGTTCTGACAGTATAAATCTTCTCATTTGGAGCGACCAGGAATTCTTTCTGTAATGTTGACGCACAATTTAATTTGAGCTACATTCTCAGAAATCATATCATATGATACTAATTCCATCCAGTGATCCATTTACCTCCATCCAGGATCTTTTATCATTGACCATTAAAGCATTTTATCTGAATAAGAGTCTATTTGCTACCCTTTTATTCCAACATGCAATTTCCTGGCATCTGGTGCCACATGTAGTGAGTGTTAAATAGCAGCCATTCCTTTCTGACCTTCCTCTTGGAGCTGGATTTGATTCTGCCCAGTGTGAGGGTCTTTGTGTGAGCAGAGCCTATCTAATGGTTCCCCCCCCCCAGTGCATCCAGCGAGCACGGCTCACTCAAGCTGCTCCTTCTGTAGGCAGAAAGCCATGTGCTGTGAATGTGAGTCCCTTCTCAGAGTCCTTCCTCCCTTGAGTCGTGTATTTGCACAGTTTACATGTGCATATTGTCCCAAAAAATATTCCCTGCATAGCATATAAATTAGTCAGCACAACTGCTGTGGTATTAAACCAGTAGTATTTAGTATTAATTATAAACATTCAAATTGAATTATAAAATACAATGCATGAGTTACAATGCCTAAATATTCACACAGGCATCCGATACGACTCATTGCTCAGTACAGATACCAGGTATCAAGCAAACCACCAAGTAAACATCTGATATTGTCTTTATTATATTTTCCTCATCTGCTCTCCTGGAGGTCCAGCCATTCCATCATCGGCACCCTGATGATTCGTTGTTTAATTTAGTCACATGGTTAGGGGGATAAACTCCATCTGGACCCCTCATGACCCTGAAAGGGACAATCATGTACTGAAAATAGATAGACGGATAGATAGGAAGCAGCTGAGGACCAACCGAGTGAGAACCATCACAAGTGCATTACATATGACTTTCAGATGGACAGCAATGTCGCTAGAGTTTTTAGCTAATATTTGCTTCGTGATGTAAATGACCTCACAGCCTCACGCTTTGCTATCGGCTCTTTGAAGTCGCTTTGCCCGTGCATGACTCCAGTGATCCTCAGTTATCAAACCCTCACTCATATCATTCTTCTTCTCTGCTTTTGATCTGCACGCTTGCATTCCCTGAGGCCGTCACTCGAGAGGCTCCATTAAGAGCAGGACTCTCTTCACTGGCTCCGTTTTCTCTGTCTCTATCTGGGTGCACGCTCTCGGTCTCGCTCATGCCGTGGGTCCGCGGCCTCACTGGGTTCTCGAGGGTCCTGCTCAGAAGGAGACAGTCGCGTTATTGTGCTCGGGGGCCACCCGCGGGGGGGGGGGGGGGCCTGCAACCGGCAGACATCAGACAAGGGCCTCTCGCGTTGGCCCACAGCATCTCGCCAACCATCAAGGAGGTTGTCGCAAGGAACAAAAGTGCCTTATCGCTCTTTTTCCCGCCCTTGGGTCGCTGGTGTTTGTGGCACATAGAGGGCCTTTGTGTGCTCCGGCGTTGCTGGCATACTCTCATCCAATTCCAGGGTATCGGGAAGAGAACAGCAGTAACACAGCTGTACATAACAGCACAGATGCCAGGCAGTGGGTACGACTCGCTTCTCAGTACAGACACCAGGAATGGGGAGCGACTTGCTCCTCAGTAGAGACGCCAGGAATCAGGAGTGACTCGCTTTGCAGTATAGACACCAGGAATCGGGTATGACTCGCTCCTCAGCACAGACATCAGAAATTGGGTACGACTCGCTTCTCAGTACAGTCACGAGGAATGGGGAGCAATTTGCTCCTCAGTAGAGACACCAGGAATTGGGAATGACTCGCTTTGCAGTACAGACACCAGGAATCGGGTATGACTCGCTCCTCAGTACACACACCAGGAATCAGGTATGACTCGCTCCTCAGTACAGACACCAGGAATCGGGTATGACTCGCTCCTCAGTACAGACACCAGGAATCGGGTATGGCTCGCTCCTCAGCGCAGACACCAGGAATCGTGTATGACTCGCTCCTCAGTGCAGACATCAGGAATCGTGTATGACTAGCTCCTCAGCGCAGACATCAGGAATCGTGTATGACTCGCTCCTCAGTACAGACACCAGAAATCGGGTATAACAAGCTCCTCAGCACAGACACCAGGAATCGTGTATGACTCGCTCCTCAGTGCACACCATAAATTGGGTATGACTCGCTCCTCAGTACAAACACCCTCAGCTCATCACCATCGCTGACATTCTGAGTGTCACTGCTATTTTTCTGTTTTCTTTGGAGAGGCACGATTAGATTTGTTCCCATTTGCCTGCCTCATTTTCGTTTGCCCTGCACTGTGCACAGACGGCCTCGTCCCCCGCCTCATTGGGGCCCCTCTCTGACTGGCACTTTGTTGTCGTTCCAGCCCGCCACCTTCTGGGGGACCTCAGCAAGGCAAGCTTTGGGTGACCACAGCAGGACAGAATGCAGAAGTCCGGATAGCCTCCCCCCATTGCATCCCAGACTGCCCCCCACGGGGACGGCACCGGAGGTAAGGACGCCATCTACTCTACATATCCTGCTTCCATATATTGCAAAAGAAAATTCCTCATTTTTCCATTTCCGTTCTTTTTTTAAACCAACAGCACGGCATTATTCAGACTAAATTACTTCAGGAAAAGCCTCCCAAAAAAGCATGCCAGTAAATCGTCGCATGAAACATGACAAGAATGAGTCATTGGCCATGTTGTCGTTGTTGGGGCTATACGGTTTCTCTTTAGCAGTGCTTTGTATCTGGGGGGGGGAGGATCACCAGAGTAAAGCGCCGCATCTAATAGGAAGCGCCATCTTTAGACCAATCTCTATACCAATCACGGTGAAACCTGGGCAGCGATCTGCAAGGAACATTAAATTATTGCTTGAAACAGGCATCACAGAACGTGTTTAAAAGCTCTCATTTTTCAAAGACGCCGCCATGAAAATCTTGTCAGCCGAATTTCGTGTTTGCTTTTCGATAAAAATGGCGACCTCGGGTTGAAAAGAGCTGATGTTTGACGAAGGAAGTGGACTGAGAGCCACTTAGCGGGACGTGCTCCTAAGGTGACGCCCCTCAGAGAATAGCCCAGTGTGCCGCTGTTGGTTTAGTACTGAACCTCAGTAGGAGAATCTCTCTGTCTGTCTGAAAGCGGGACATGGTGGCGCTCTCCTGACCGGTGGCTCAGAAGCACAGCCAGCCCTTGTAAATATTTGAGGTCGAGCGTTAGGCTCAGTGCCAGGCAAGTTGTTCGTAAGATTTTAAAGTGTTTAGTATGATCGACATAACAAATGTTGGAATGAAGTGGAACATGAGGACAGGGGTGGCACTGATATTTACAGTGTGTACTTGGGAGTGGGGGGGTGGGGGTCAGGTGAGATATGTGCCGAGAAAAGCCTCTTTGTTTTACGCAAAGCGCCCGACCACGTCTCGGTCGTGGCTCCAACTGGGACCATTTTTGACCATGCGATCAGCTGGACAGAGCTGCAAAGTGGTTTGGGACTGTGGAACATTTTAGTAAATAGGGACTATGGGCTTTGTGATCAATTTAAATAAAACAGTCAAACAAGGAAGTTCTAGAAAATTCTAAACAACCAGATATGCCAGGCCTTATTTAGTGAAATTATCTTCCCTGTACAATGTCATGTCATTATATAAAGAAAACACTCTGCTTTACACGGCATATAGTGTTAAAAGTAACTAAATCTCATGGAGAAATGCAAGGGACGACATTCTAAGTACATGTGGTTTAATGCTTAATTAACATTAACACAGGAACATATTGCTGTACTTCACATTGTCTGGGAATATCCATTTTATGACCATTCATTTAGATCAACTAATTTGATTGCCAGCGTACAAATGCGGTTACCACAGTACAATGAAAATGAGTGGTGTGATTGCAGCGATCAAATATGAAAACTGACACTGAATATTAAGTATTAATTTGTATTTTTAATGATTATTGCTATTGTTAGGATGATTGCTTTTGAAATTATTTGCAGTTTTGTTTGTCAGTGCCAAACTGAAATCCATCATCCAGTATCGGATTTCAAATGAATGTTTATTAAACTGAATATACCTGCATAATGCGAATAAAGCATAACCATAACAGAAATAGGAGATGTAAATGTTCTGTTTAATGTAAAGCCAAACGATCCATCTTCTATAGCTGATTATCTGCTAGAGGGTCACATGATGCTTAGAGCACAGAATAGCGGTCTGTCCGTACGTCACAGGGCACCCGCAATGAGCCATTTAAACACATGAATCAACATGTTTTTGGGGAAGAAACCAAAAAGAGACCCATTGAAATAGAGGCAGAACAAACAAACGGTGAGAGGCCGCAGCTACTAGGAAAGCCATCATGCAATACCGGTGCTCCGATCAACAAATTCTGGTCACCTCATTATCAACAGGAACCTGGTGGTTCTGTCTGACTTTGCCACTTAGCCAAATGTGCTTAAAGGAGACTGCGGTGAAGGAGTGTTAGACACGCCTCATCGCTGCCGTACAGCATCAGTGGTGACTGCTACTGGCCGGATTGTAACAGGACAGTTAAAAGGGTGATGGCTTTAGTGAGTGGTCAAAGGATTAGGCTTCTCCCATTCAGACAAAATGAAGTCTCCTTCTCAGAGCATGTTATGATGTGAAAGCTCACCACAGCTTACAGAACCTCACCAGCATGGATGTTGAGCCCAATGACAGCAGAGTGCAGAATATTCCAGTACAGTAACAAAAACATAAAACCGTTTTGTGCAAAGCCTAACTTGAATAAGCCGGTATTCTTTATAGCTTGTGCTGTGGTGAACGAACGAATCAGGGAGTGAATTTATGAGGTCATGAGTGAGCCAATTGTTGTGGAACTCCAACACTCGCCTGTGTGTATATGAGGGAAAGTTATTACCTACCGGCTCGGTGTTAAAATAAAGCCTGGTGAGTAAGCATTCTCCTGTGAGGCCCCAGGGAGCGAGCGCCAAGGCTGGAAAACTGGCCCTGATCGATGGAAAGCCTTCCACAGTAAGGTGGGGGTTCATATCACCTTTCCTTACAGATTTCTTCCTCATCTAGCTGAATTTAGGTTTCATATATAGACATCTTTGTCCCGAGGGACTGGCAGGAAGTATTATGGGATGTCTCTCAACTATGATTGCTACATCTGAAGTGACCAATTAAAAAATAAAATAAAATGAAGGAAGGCTGTGTTAATCCTCAAGGGGGGGGGGGGGGGGCTAGAGTTGGATGTCTTGAGACCGGTCTCGAGACCACTTTCACGTGGTCTTGGTCTTGTCACAGTCTCGACGGCCTTTGGTCTTGATCTTGTCTTGGTCTCGGATCCCTCGGTCTTGTCTTGGTCTCGCTGTCTTGGTCTTGCTGTCTCAGATCGACATAGTAGTCGGGAGATTTGGCGCGAAAAGTATCCATGACACACAACGTAACATTCGATAATGCAACCTTATTATTATTTCGCATTTCGCGCCCTTCAAATGCAACCAATCAATGATATACATGCATTTTGTTGTGATTCAGACATTGGCGCACATCCAATCAAAATACGCGTTATATGCGCAAAATAAGTGTAGCGCTAGTTAAACGTTAGATCCAGCATCACAGGCTATAAGATGTTGCAATCTTTAGTTTTGTGCAATCAACCACTATTTTAAAATGTGAACTGTTTTATCTCTCTCCCTCCTCTCTGAAAATATGCCTATTAACAGTGATGCTCTCGTTCTCTCTCTCTCTCTGTTTTTATGTGTTTCATCTATCTGTATTAGTTTATCAATCTGCTATTTGTCCATAAAGTCTGTGTTCCATTGTTCTTGCCCTACTGAACAACAGGCTTGATATCATTGGCAGTGTGTTGTAATCACATGCCACTGCAGATGCCACTGCAGATGCCACTGCAGACATCAAGATGTCAGAATCTTTTAAGCACTTGTTCTTATTTTTATTAATGCACAATTTGATGTGCAGTTTATATTGGTATATAGTATTTGTAGTTTGCATTTTATTCATGTGACGTGTGCACATGTCTTTATATTGTTTGATTACAGTATTTTACTTAAAATGGTGTTGACTAAATAAATGTAAGCATTGGATTTCAAATAACATCTGCATATGATGTTGTGTTGACTTAACAGGCCTAATCCATTTCAGGGAAGTTGATATCATACAGTGTCATTTGGATAGTACTACTACAATGGGACATGATTCAATTTCAAGTTTATAATTGTGTGTCTTCAATTTGATGTTACAATTTCATCTACAAATTAAGTAGAAGTAGTAATTGAAATCAGTTACATATTTCCCATTCTTTAGACAGTTGTTGGAGGTGTTAGCTGTTTTGTCAGATGACTTTGGGACCAGTCAGTACCCGTCATGTCAGTCCTCAACATCAAACAAAAGTTAAGGGAGTCTTTTTTTTTGGTCTCGGTCTCGGTCTCGGTCTTGGTCTTGGTCTTTTCTCGACTTTGTCTTGGTCTTAGTCTTGGTCTTGTCTTGGTCTCGATACCCTCTGGTCTTGGTAGTGTCTTTGTCTTGGTTTAGGCGGTCTTGACTACAAGTCTAGGGGGGGCTCATGCGCAGGTGGGGCTGGGAAGGGGGTGCAGAGAGATACCAGAGTGGGGTCCCCCAATAGTGCTGCACATCCTCCCATCCCACAGAGAGCCTGACGCTGCAGGTGTGGATAGATGGAGCAGGCACAGTTGGGGGGGTGGATTTGTTCCGCCTGAGGATGGGGTTAATCCCCCATCTGACCGCGCCATGTGGGATGTGGGGAGCTGTACGCCCACCGTGTCAGGCCTGGGGCCTCCTCCAGGCCCCCGAGGGCACAGACGGGAGCTGTGGGGTTGCTCGCCATTGTGAGGGGTGGCTGGGTGTGGCAGCAGTGGGGAGACAGTTTAACTGGATGCTGGGATAGCTACCCTGATCAAGAGATAACCCTCTATGCAGAATTCTGGAGGATCTGCTAAGCCCTGCCATCACCAACACAAAGTCGCCCCTGGTGAGAAGATCGCCAACCATGCTACATGCCCCTCCAGGTGCACCCAGAGCTCTCCAGCCTGCCACCTTCTCCTTGCCGTAGAGACTTTTTTTCATTAAAAACTTGATAGAAGTGTGAAGCTTCACACCATTACAGATCCGCTCCTTTGAAGCCTCAACTAGCCCCAGTGGAGACCCTCCTCCTACAGTATGTGCCTTGGACGCTGTCTCCCTGGGATTCCCCCAGGAGGTGTGGCTCAATGCCTGCCCTCCCCACCCTGCCTGTCTCCAGCGCCCTCCAGTGCCCAGCACACCTGAAAGCCCACCATTGTGGTGCAAAGTGCGAATGTGGGCCCGCCGAGCTTCTGGCCCCCTGCCTGGATGCCTTGCCCAATCTGCGGGCTTTTCTCTCATAAGGCACAAAGGCAGAGGCCTGGGCGGCTGGAGCTGGGGGCTCCTTTTTCACCTGTGAGATTATCTCTCTCTGCTCGCAATGTTCGGTGACAGGGCCAAATGCAATTACTCTGCACTTAGAGAGGTAAATTAGCTCTGGGAAAGGAGGAAGAAAATGCACCGCAAATTCAATTTGCTGTAATTCATCTTCCCCCTCTTAGTGTTTATAAATTAAATGAAGCCAATTCAAAAGCCCATTTTGTGAAAGGTTTGACTTGCACCAGTACGCAGCGCCTTACCTCTGCTTTTTCCATGCTTTTTGCCCCCGGGTGCTCATGGGTTACGCCAAATTATTTGGTGAAGTGCTTTTTTTGCATGCCAGTCACATTAATGTCGTTTTGCCCTGGGAGTTGTGCAGCAGTCCAGTGCAGATTGGGGGGAGGGGCTGTCCAGTAACCCCCTGCTATTTAAATTCTTCCCTCTCGCACACGCTGCAGGCATTTTGCAGTGAATGGGTCCTGCTTCTGTATAGATGAGCTCCTGGTGTGATGTCAGAGCACTTGAGAACCAGGCTGTGCTGGTACTATAACATGCAGTCAGTACGTTTACATGCACACTAAGAAAATTGAATTATCGTGTTTGACTAAAACCAAACTTTTAAAGTACATGTAAACATGTTAGTCCGACTGAGGTGAGGATCATGCACTGATTACAGCGTGTTGCTGCATCCACCACACGACAAACCACCTCAGGGATGAGAACCTGAGTGCAGCCATGTGGCAGGTGATACCTCAGCACCACACTAGTCCGAATGGACCAGTGTGGGGTTTTTTTTCCCCAGTGGCTGAATTGCCAATCCTGCCACCAACCCCCAGGTTTTTCCCCTGTAAGTTGGAGGACCTGCTTACAGGGCTGGACGTAGATTAACGTCATACCCCAACAAAGCAATTTCAGGTTAAGAGCCTTGCTCAAGGGCCCAACAGAGTAGAATCACTCTGGGTATTCATGGGATTCAAACCAGCAACCTTCCAGTTGCTGGCACAGGTCCCTAGCCTCAGAGCCACCACTCCATCCCATTGTTAGTTCGACCGAAATCATACTAAATCGAATTTCTCAAAGTCGGACAAGGACTCCCGGATAATGTGATTGGAAGCCGATTTACTCCTGCATGTAAACGTTCAATCGAACCCAAACTGGCCTAGGCACTCTGCACATGCTTCACATTTTCCCCCTGGACTTTGACCCGGAAGTAACCGAAGAAGCTGACACACAGTAGAAACCTGGAGCATAGCTGAGGACTTACAGCACGTACGAAATGTACAGCCCTGTAAAGCCGTCCGATTCACCGCTCAGCTAAAGGTCGCTTTTCCACCGCAGCAGGTACCGTACTTTTGGTATTCAAGAAGGTTCCCAAAGTACAGTACTTTAAGGTGTTAGTTTTCCACTGGCGTAAAACCTGGTACTGGTGCCGAATGACATCACAATGCGAAGCGGGGTATTTTGTACCGAATTTGAAAAATGGCTGTATCTCTCTGTAGAACTGGACGACGTGTGATATTAATACCAAAGTCGCATGTTATGTGCATCCAATTCTTACATTCTAGTCAGCTAGATTAAGATCATGCTTTTTCTTACCTTCAGTTTGGTAAGGATATTATAGCGTAGGGAGTTTAAGTCTCGCTAAAACATTTTTACTCTGTCATAGGGAATAAAACCTTGCAACTTTTGCAATTTTAATGATTATTCCTTTTCAGTTTTTATCTAGTATAATTTTGCATGAACGCTGCATGCACTCTCCAAGACAATCATAATCATTTTCATCCTTGCTCTGTAAATCACTCCTAGACGGGTTAGTCAGAAATTTATGTTGAACTCCATTTTTTTCATAAATACCCCAATATTTATTACAACAAAATCACATTATAATATTTGAAAAAAATCCAATACCATGCTGTCATAGTATATTATACAAAATACTTTCTTGTTATGCTATCCTGACCTTGTTTTATCTATTCTTCTGACCAGATCGCAATCAAAGCTTGTGTCACTTCATTTCATGCATCCTTAACTATAAATTTTATTATGTTTTTTACGTCTGTGGCGTAATACATCAACCGGAAAAAGCCCAGTATTAACAAACTGAAAGGAGCCATATCGCCACCTATTGTAGTGGAGTCGGACATACTTCGGTCGATAAATCGATTCCCCTCCTGTGCATGTATACTGGGACAAGGACAGTAGTCCGATTAAATGCCATAGTTGAGCTATAAACGTAGCTCGACTTAACTGTGCATGTAAAAGTAGTGAAACTCGATCGTGCCTTACCTGTAAATGCACCTGAGGGATGTTTAATGTAATTATTCTGCAGTATACATGCACAGGAGGAAAGCACACTCTTTCTGCGTCCACCATGATGAAAGCTAGACATTCTGGTCCTGAGTGGTCAGGACCTTTGCTAAGTATAGCAGTGTCTTCTGTAAAGAAGGAAGTGGATCATACAGTACTCTGGGGGTCACATCTGGCCAAGGCAGAGGATTCCAGTTGACTTTGAAAACTCATGCCAAGAGAATTTTTTTTCGGGGGGGGGGGGGG